TCCTGAGCTCCGCTGCAGCAACTACAGCATGTCTTCCAGAGCTATCTTAACTTAAGAGGTTCTTGGAGGTAACATGGCTGGGTATATACTCTCCAAGGGATTGGTTGGATACCAGAGTCCTTCGAGAAGTGGCAGATGAAACTAGGTATTCCTGTTGATGTAAGTCAGCTCAGGGGACACACATTGAAGCGTATCACCGGCATTGTTACTAAGGATTTCGTCCTGTTGTGGGAGGACCAGGGTTCATCTTACAACAGGTCTCTGTTGGAACCACTTGCGCAGGTAATTATGTGAAATGCTTCGTAGACAAGGTCATCTGACAGGAGCCTCCAAGTTGGCCGTGCATGTTTCAGGGGAGTTGGTGACCCAGCAGGGATTATTTGATGATCGACGGGTTCTGAATGATGTTCCAGGTCTCCGGTTTTCCCAGAGGCTGCCAGTTTCGTAGAAGTTTCGGTTGTGTGAGTAGTCAGTGGTTCCGAGGGGATTTCTGCTTCTGGAGGGAGCTTCCAGAATGGGGAACCCCAACGACCTCTTCCTCATTCATTGCCTCCTCCCCTCACCTGTGGTTTTCTCCTCTCTTCCCAAGACCCTTGACAGGCGGAGGTGGGTTATTCCACCACGTGAAGGGACGGTCCACGGTCTCTTGTGTTCCGACGGGTCACTGCTCGAACCCAAGGTATGACAATTCTGTCGAGCAGGCTGGGCTCCTGCCTGAATGAGTGATCATGGGGTCGGTGTTGACAAGCGCTTCTGGAGCCTTGCCATGCCCCATGCATGGCACGTGCGTCGCCGAACTTCTTGGGCTGCTCTGATGATTCTCGGGCACGCGGGACCTGGAGAGGCGTTCGTCGGGGTCGATTGTGCGCCTTCGATGTCGGTCTGGCCCCGAGGTTGCCTCCTCCGCGCCGGCGCATCCTTCGGAGAATTCTGGGAAGAAGTGCTTCGGAGGGTTTCGGAGCGGCGCGCCGAGGCCGAAGGGGGGTCCCCAGCCCGAGCGTGGCGCGGCAGTCCTGCGGCTTATGGCTGCTCCTGGCCCGGGAGGCGCCCGGCCAGGTGCCGCACGCCCATGCTCCTGCAGGACCTGGAGGCCATCGCTCGGACGTCCATTCCCTGTGGTTTTTTTCGGCTTCGTGCGTGGCTTTTTCGCCAAATGATCAAGGGTGCTCCTCAATGGTCCTCGCCGAAGGAAAAATGCACACGTCCGAGCGATGCCAAGGAGAGGGGGGTGCTCCTGACAAGGCTCTATGGGACAAGCCCAGGCCGCGAGGCGGCTGGCGAGTCCCGCGCAATAAGTCGGTGCGCGCTTGGACTTGGAGCCCCGAGTCATCGGGGGCACCTCGGGTCAGGGATATTTTCGGCGTCGACTTCTCGGGGAGCCGAACCCAGGTTGCCCCGGGCCCGAGTTGCCCCGGAGAACTCGGGCGTCCACAGCTCCAGGTCATCAGGGGTATTCGGGTCGGGGCTATCTCGGGGTGCTGTTTCGGGAATCCGAACCCAAGCTACCCCAGGCCCGAGTTGCGCCGGAGAACTGATTCGGGCGCCCAGAGCCCCGAGTCATCAGGGGCAACTCGGGTCGGGGCTAGCTCGGGGTGCTTTTTCGGGGAGTCCGAGCCCGAGCTTCCCCAGGCCCGAGTTGCGCCGGAGAACTAATTCGGGCGTCCAGAGCCCCGAGTCATCAGGGGCAACTCGGGTCAGGGCTAGCTCGGGGTCCTTTTTCGGGGAGTACGAACCCGAGCTACCCCAGGCCCGAGTTGCGCCGGAGAACTAATTCGGGCGTCCAGAGCCCCGAGTCATCAGGGGCAACTCGGGTCGGGGCTAGCTCGGGGTGCTTTTTCGGGGAGTCCGAGCCCGAGCTTCCCCAGGCCCGAGTTGCGCCGGAGAACTAATTCGGGCGTCCAGAGCCCCGAGTCATCAGGGGCAACTCGGGTCAGGGCTAGCTCGGGGTCCTTTTTCGGGGAGTACGAACCCGAGCTACCCCAGGCCCGAGTTGCGCCGGAGAACTAATTCGGGCGTCCAGAGCCCCGAGTCATCAGGGGCAACTCGGGTCAGGGCTAGCTCGGGGTCCTTTTTCGGGGAGTACGAACCCGAGCTACCCCAGGCCCGAGTTGCGCCGGAGAACTAATTCGGGCGTCCAGAGCCCCGAGTCATCAGGGGCAACTCGGGTCGGGGCTAGCTCGGGGTGCTTTTTCGGGGAGTCCGAGCCCGAGCTAGCCCCGGGCCCGAGTTGCGCCGGAGAACTGATTCGGGCGTCCAGAGCCCCGAGTCATCAGGGGCAACTCGGGTCAGGGCTAGCTCGGGGTCCTTTTTCGGGGAGTACGAACCCGAGCTACCCCAGGCCCGAGTTGCGCCGGAGAACTAATTCGGGCGTCCAGAGCCCCGAGTCATCAGGGGCAACTCGGGTCGGGGCTAGCTCGGGGTGCTTTTTCGGGGAGTCCGAGCCCGAGCTAGCCCCGGGCCCGAGTTGCGCCGGAGAACTGATTCGGGCGTCCAGAGCCCCGAGTCATCAGGGGCAACTCGGGTCAGGGCTAGCTCGGGGTCCTTTTTCGGGGAGTCCGAGCCCGAGCTACCCCAGGCCCGAGTTGCCTTGGAGAACGCGGGCGCCCGACTGTGGAGGCTTGGCGGGGCGAGCGCCTCTCGTCCTCCCTGGCCCCTTGGCACGGCCAGGCTGCTCGGCCGGTGCCCCGGCTGTCGTTTCCCAGATGTGCGCAGCGTTGTTCGAGCAGGGGATCGATTACAGAATTGATTTACCCCAGATTTGATTTCCTCGTCGAATCTACCAAAAAAGACGCAGCATCTCGCATGGATTAGACGAAGAAGACAAACATTCGGAGTAAGGTAATTCTGTAGTCGATCCCCTACTCGAGTTGTTAAGTCACTCAGGCTATGACCAGGCCCGACGCTTTGCTCACGGTGCCGAGCCCGGTTGCTGTGGGAACAGGCTTCGCGCGCAAGGTCTGCCTCTCCCGTGCCCGGGCTTCTACTGGCCTGATCTGAACCCCGTGCCGGTGAATTCCGAAGGTCATCTGGCAAGCCCGCCTCGCGCATGAGCTTTGGGGGCCTTGGAGATGAGGAGGAGAGAAGAGCGGAACGAAGCTGCTCCTGCTCCCGGTGGTGGCAGTGTCGTTGTCCTTCCCCTCGCCCCCCTCGCCCCCGCTCCCTCGTTCTTCCCCATCCCCCCCCCCCACACCTGCGCCCATGTAGCTTCTCCTCCCCTCCGCCTTTCCCTTCTCTTTCCTCTCCCCCCCTCCGCCTCCTCCGCCTCCTCCCCCTCCTCTGCTCTCCCTCCGCCCTCCTCTTCCCTCCCTCCCTCCCCCCCTCCTCCCTCCCTCCCTCCCTCCCTCCCCCTCTTCCTCCTCCGCCCTCTCGTCCTCCTCCGCCTCCTCCTCCTCCTCCTGATCCTCCTCCTCCTCCTCCTCCTTCTCCTGATCCTGATCCTCCTCCTCCTCCTTCTCATCATCATCATCATCATCATCATCATCATCATCATCATCATCATCATCATCATCATCATCATCATAGTCATCATCATCACCACCATCATCATCATCAGTATCAGCATCAGCATCATCATCAGCATCATCATCATCACCGTCATCGTGATTGTCGTCACCACCATCAACACAAACAACAGCAGCACCGCCGCCATCACCATCACCATCACCATCACCATCAACATCAGTATCATCATCAGCATCAGCAGCATCAGCATCATCATCAGCAGCAACAGCAGCAGCAGCAATCTATATGAATAAGAATACGACTCGTAATAAGAAATAACAATCATAACAATAGTACGAATACTGCGAATAATACTCATACTAATCATAATAATAGTAGTAATAACAATCATACTAGCAATCATATTAATAATCACCCCTCGACCTCATCCGCATCCTCACCACCTTCGTCTGGGGCCTTCTCTTATCTATGTCCGGTCTGATTTGACTGGCCCCGAGATTCCCCATGGAGGCCTCGCCCACTAGCTTGGGTGTAGGTGGGCTGCGCCACGGTTGATGTTGAACATCCTTCGCTCCCCCATCGCATCCTTCCCCCCTCCCCCCCCCCTCCCCCCTCCCCCCTCCCCTTCCCCCTCCACCTCCGCCCTATGTCGCGCCTGCCGCTGCGCCTGTGGGCCTGGACGCTGCTGTGGCGCGCGACGGAACCGGCGGTGGCCGAGCTGCTGGTGGTGGCGATGATCGTGACGCATCCGCAGGCGCTGGCGTGGAGGATCAAAGAACGGAAAATGGCACGAGGATTTCGGTAGCAGACCATGGGAGCCTGGTATACCCTCTGAATTCCGTCTCTGGAGTCGACTCGCGTCGACTAGCGTCTGGAGTCGATGAGATAGCGCCGATTTAGCGTGGGCTAGCGTCGGCTAGCGTCGATTTAACGTCGATTAGCGCCGATTCGCAAGAGCCGACAAGATGGTATGGGAGGCTCCCATGAGCTGCCACCGAACACGAGCATAGCCTCTCGAATGTTGCTCTGTTTTGTTTTTGAGGCGCGGCGGTGCTGCCAGCCCACCGAGAGGCGCGGCGGCGCTGCCAGCCCAGACACGCTCGCGTCGTGGCAAGCCAACAGAAAAAACACGACGAGCGGTTCCTGGCCGTCCTCGGCCTCTGAAGGCCCATGGGGCCGTCGAGGATCGGCGCGGGACGAAGAGAACAGGGCCCCAGGGGCAGCGGCTCGGGATCTCCGGGGATCCCGCACTGAAGACAGCAGGGCGCGTCGCATGCTTGCGGTGCGGCGGTGCTGACGTGGAGGATGAGCCAACGGCATGAGCGTAGACGCTCGAAGGTCCGCGCCGATTCCTCTTGGACCTGCGCTGGGCCTTGTCGCCCCTGGCGCGCTCAGGAGGAGGAGGAGGAGGAGGAGGAGGAGGAGGAGGAGGAGGAGGAGGAGGAGGAGGAGGAGGAGGAGGAGGAGGAGGAGGAGGAGGAGGAGGAGGAGGAGGAGGAGGAGGAGAGGGAGGCTGTTCCGCTGGCTCTCATTCGAAGGAGGCTCGTGCGCGAGAGCCTCGCGGAGCTGACCGACCGGGTCTTCGCGGTCGGCCACGAGGTGCCGGGCAGAAGCAGGGCCGAGGCTGGCGGTGCCAACAGGAGCCGTCGCAGCAGGGCGCCCTTCCCAAAGCCCGTTTCTTTATTGCTGGGGCCATGACGGGCGTCATGGCCCCCGCTTCCCCCCCTTCCCTATGACGTAACGCTCCCCCCCCCCAGTGCGCTCTGGGCACTGCCGCCGTGCGTGGGATCCGCGTAGGTGTGCGCGTAGGAATCCGCATAAAAGTCTGGTCCGCAGTCGTCGTCGTCGTCGTCGTCGTCATCGTCATCGCTCGTGGCTCGTCGCTCGTCGCTCATCGTCGTCGTGCGCGCAGACGCGGCTGGAGCCTGTTTTTCATTCCGGGCCGGTGACGGCAATCATCTGGGGGGGAGGGTGTCGATGACGTCACGTTTCGCGCAGGCGGCGTCTGGGAATGCCTAGGAATGACGGAGGACGGGTAGCAACAGCGTGTAGGTGGCGATTTGCACCACAATGCCTGTGTACACCACAGTGCCCGCGTGCACCACAGCGCCTGTGTACACCACACCGCCTATGTACACCACAGCAGCCGCGTGCAACACTGCGTCAGTTTGTGCCACCGTGCCTGCGGGCACAACAGCTGCTGTGTACACCACAGCGCCTGCGTACACCACATCAGCCGTGTGCAACACAGCACCAGTGTACATCACACTGCTTGCTTGCATTGCAGTGCCTGTGTGCACCACGGCGCCTGTGTGCACCACAACAACCGTGTGCAACACAACACTACTGTTGTATATATTGAGTGTTAGATGGAATCCTTATGACAAAATGGAGCGCGTGTGGATTCCACAGAGAACAATATAATGGAATCCTTATGGACAAAGGAGCGCCGCTGGAATCTACGAGTCCTCCCGAGTCCGCCCGCATCACCCTAACTCTTCCCATCTGCGTCCAGGAGGCTCCAGCTAAATCGGCCGTGCGAGAACCAAAATGACCGATTCAATCGACCATTCTGCGGTGCACGCTGAGATGTGCACGTGCATTGTAGCGCCAACCCAGACGACAGGGGGTAAAGAGGAGGAGGAGGAGGAGGAGGAGGAGGAGGAGGAGGAGGAGGTGGAGATGGAGGAGGAGGGAGGAGGGAGGAGCGTCGAATTCGATTATCAGCATTTCCCTGCACGCAGGCACTGTGGTGTACACTAGCGCTACGTTGTACGCGGATGCTGTGGTGTAGACAGGCGCTGTGGCGTGCACAGGCGCTGCGGTGCACGCAAGCATTGTGGTGTACACAGGCGCTGTGATGCACATGGTTGTTGCGGTGTACACATGTACGCCGGCGCTGTAGTGTACGCAAGCACTGTGGTGTACACAGGCGCTGCGTTGCACATGATTGTTGCGGTGTGCGCAGGTGTTGTGGTGTACACGCGCGCTGTGGTGCACGCGAGCGTTGTGGTGTACAGTGGCGCAGTGGGGCATATCGCCACCTACATGCTGCTCGCGTCGTCGTCGTCGTCGTCGTCGTGCTCGTCGCTCGTCGCGTCGTGCGCGCGGGCGCGGCTGTGGTGCCGGAGCCACACGGCGGGGGGGGCGTTGCGTCATACCATCCCCCCGCCCCCCCCCCCCAATGACGCCCGTCATCGCCGAACATAACAAACGCGCTCCTAGACATGCTCGCGTCGTACAGTCACAGCGGGCAATGATTGGCCGTTTTCGGCCTCTGGGGGCCTTGACCGGGCCCCACGACCGTCAACAAAACGATCCGGGACGGAACGCCAGCCTTGGGGAAAGGGTCGGGATTTCTGGGAACTGCGTGTTGAAAGGCATCAGGGCCTCGCATGTTTGTATGGGTTCGCATCTCCTGGATTCTGGAGCCTCTCTGCATGCTTTCTGCCGCCTCGGTCCGGGGGCAACCTGGGCATCTGGTGCGTCCCATGCGAACTTGCATCCTTGTGCTCCATCCCTCGGGGAACAAAGGCAGTGCCAGCGGCACGTTGCCTCGGGGGGGGGAGCCCACAGCGCGTAATTGTTGAACGCGCGCCAGGCCTTCGGACAAAGACGAATGCGTGACGCGCTGCCGGGCTCCCAGCGGCGGGGTGTGTCCTTGATGTTCCTTTTCTCAGGCGATCGCAGACATGGAGTAAGGGGGCGTGGATTAGCGACGGGTCCCGTTTCCATGGGACATCTCCGATTTCCGCCGCCGAGCAAGGCGGCACCGGCCGCATTTTGGGGAGGGCATGCCTCTCCCGATCCATGGATTTGGCGACCACGCGCCAAATCCATGGATCGCTGATCCATGCTTGCGCGCCCCCGATGTTCCCTGCCGGATCCCCGTCGCCGGTCCTGACTGTGCCGCGCTCCAGGCAGGGCTCCGCCCTCGGTTCCTGCCTCCCCCGCTCCCGCTCCGCAGCGCGTCGGGTGCCGCGTCTGTTCTGCCGGGCTCGGAAGTCAGGATCCGGGCGCCTGGCGCCTCGCCGCGCTGCGGCTCTGCGGGACGGGTCGGGCCTGCGCGCGGTGGTGCCTTTCTCTGCGGCTCTGCGCCGCTCCGCGGCTCCTTGCGCGCCACCTCTGGGCCCGGCCGCGCACCCGTGGCCGGGCCCCGGGGAGAGGGGTCATCACGGGGGGGCGGCCGAGGGCGGACAGGGTTCCTCTCATGATCAAGCAGCGGCGGAGCGTCCTGGCTCGCCTATAGCCCTACCAAACCATGTTTTGAGGACTTTTTGTGGTTTCCACGACATGCTCTTAGAACATGTCTGGCGGAGTCTGTCTTGCTTTATCACATCGGGTTTATGTTCTAGGAACATTGTTTTTGTTCTTAGAACATGTTTGGGTTCTAAGAGCATTTCGTGGTAGGACCCTAGGCTTGCCGGGACGGTCGGTCCCTGCTCAATATGAGAGGGGTCTGGGGGGGCTCTTGTGTGCTCTTGACCTCCGTTCCTGTGGCCCTCCTCCTCCTCCTCCTCGTCCTCCTCCTCCTCCTCCTCCTCCTCCTCCTCCTCCTCCTCCTCCTCCTCCCCCTATACCTCCCCCTCCCTCTCCCCATCCCTCCCCCAAAAATGGCAGCCGGGGGCAGTGTTCCGTCCTGGAGCGGCCCTCCGAGGGCCGCTAAGCCCGAGCGGCCGCCCCATTCGGCCCGAGGCCGAGGCAAACTTCAGGACTGGCAGGCCCAGTCCGCCCGAAGCCTGGCGATTTCGGCGGCGGCGGCGGCAGGCGCTGGGCGTCGTGTGATGGTGGGGTGGGGGGCTCCTCCGAAGGGCTTAGGCGACCCGTCCTCCTCCTCCTCCTCCTCCTCCTCTCCTCCTCCCCTCCTCCTCCCTCCTCCTCCTCCTCGGGTCGCACGGCCCAGGGGGAAAACCGTGCACGGGGTGGGTGGGGGGGCGATGAGTGGGCGGGCAGCGAGGGCTGCAGAAAGGGGGTCCTCGAGGGCCCCCACAGGGGCGCTTTGGGGCCCGAGAGGGGGGGGCCCCCTCTCGGGTCCCGAGAGGGGAGGCCCGAGAGGGGGGTCCCCGAAGACCCCGAAGGCTCCCGGGGCCTTCGGGGCCCGAAGAAGTGCACGTGCCTCCTTCCCAGAAGGGGCCCTGCATAAAGGGGCCCTGGAGGGACCGGAGGGGGGCCTCTCTTTGGGGCCCGAGCAGTGCACCTTCCCCCCCCCCCCCCCCCCCCTCCGCAGAGGGGCCCTCCAGGGCCCGACCGGGGCACCGGGGCCGCCCGTTGGGGGCCCGCGGGGCGCTTCTTTCTCTGCCCCCCCCCCTCCTCTCGACCCGCCCCCCCCCCCCCCTTGAGCGACGCCGGGAGGTGCAGGTGGCCGTCCGCTTCGCGATCGGGGCGCCGCCTCCGCGCATGTTCCCGCGGGGGAAGCTGCGGCTCCACGCCATGCTGGCCGACGAGATGGACGCGTTCGGCGACCTGGCGCTGCTCAACGTGTCCGACGGGGACTGCAACGCCGGCAGCCGGGGTGGGCCAGAAGCCCAGTCCTCTGGAAGCAGGGTTGAGTGGGATCGCGGCTTTGCCGACGTATTTTTGGAGTATCCCCCGAGTACGTTTGTTTATTTTGGTTCTCTCAAAAATCGTCAGTAGGAGGACATGCTCGACACAAAGGTAGGAGAGGGGTATGGCATAAAGGGGTGTGGTGCCAATCGTGTAAACCGTGCTGGTATCTACGGTAGATGGCACCGCCAGGCTCAACACTGGCACCACACCCCTCTATGCCACAACCCCCTCTATGCCTCCAGAAGACCGCCCGCGGAGCCCCTTTTTGGTGGCTGCCTGAGTTTGGCTCCGCCCCCCCGGGTGCTGTTGCCAGGCATGTCGCCCTCGGGCCCCAGGGGCCATCCAGCGTCGGCCTGGGACGCGCGTGTGCTCTCGGCGGGCCTTAAAAACGCCAAGCTCACGTTTTTTGGGGTCGTGGTCCATGCCTGCCGCCTGGCGCCGAGCCGCGAGAGGACGAGCCGCGAGGGGACGCCCGCTTCAAGACGGGCGGTGGCCGGGGGCGGCACCGAGGCTCCGCGCCCCATGCTGGCCGTGGCCCTCGCTTTTCTGTCTGTGGGTGCTCCTCCCCTCCCGCAGGGCGAGCGGACGCTGGCTGAGGAGGAGGAGGAGGAGGAGGAGGAGGAGGAGGAGGAGGAGGAGGAGGAGGAGGAGGAGGAGGGCGGTGACCCAGAGCGGCACCGACGTTCCGCGTTGCACCTCGGCCATGGCCCCCGTGTTCCGGACCAGAAAGCTATGCCATAAGCGCAAATTGGTGGCGCTCCGCGCGGAATTCTTGGATCCGCGCCAGACCCCCCCCCCCCCCTGGCGGCGCCCCTGGCGCGCTCCGCGCGCCAGGGAGAGGGGGGGCATGGCGCAGATCCAAGAAATCCGCGCGGAGCGCCGACATTTTATGTTTATGTTCTCCCTCCGGCCCCCGTGTGGATCCCACAAAGGGTGTGCGTGTGTGTGCCCCGGTGTGTGTGTGTGTGAGAGAGAGAGAGAGAGAGAGAGAGATAGAGAGAGAGAGAGATATAGAGAGAGAGAGAGAGAGAGAGAAAGAGAGAGAGTTCGATCGGTTTTTGCGCCGAACCGCCCAGAACAGATGGCCCCCCAGCCGCCAGCAGCTCCCGTTGGTTGCCGATGGGTGGGGCATGCGGAGGTGGTCCCTTTGCAGGAGTTCGGTGCACCGGCGGATCGAACTCGTGCCCCCCTCAGGGTCGCCCCTCCTTTGGTGCATCCCGCCCTAAGGCTTCTTATGTTCCAACCTACTTTAGCCTTGACCACCAGAATTTCGAGCACCAAGGAAGCACCGAAACTTCAGGGTTTTCACGTGTCGGGCCCTGGGAGGCGACACTCGTTCGACACTGTTTCGACACTTTTATGGGTGCTCGAAACTTTTTCTGGGCTGTGATCCCCGAGTACGATGGGACCAACACAAGCGGAGGGCATCTCTTCGCAGGAGTTGGGTGCACCAGCGGATCGGACTCGTGCCCCCCTCAGGGTCACCCCCGGTTTGGTGGATCCCGCCCCAGACATGCCACGTCCTGATTTTTTCAGGACGGCGTCCCTGGAAGTCCCGACGCTCTCCCCGGGACCAGTTCGTCGTCATGAGCCGTTTGTTGACGGTGCCTCGGCCCAGCGAGGGCCCCCCGGGCCGAAAATGGCCCCAAACCTCCCGACTTTTTCACGACGCGATCCTGTCTGGGGATCGAGCTCACAGCCCCCCTCAGGGTCACACCCCCTTCTGGTGGACCCCGCCCCAAGGCAAGAGCTGGCTCCTCCTCCTCCTCCTCCTCCTCCTCCTCCTCCTCCTCCTCCTCCTCCTCCTCCTCCTCCTCCTCCCCCTCCTCGTCCTCCCCCGCCCCAAGGCAAGAGCTGGCACACCTTCGCCTGGGCGCTGCGCCACTTCCCCCGCGCCGCCCTGATAGCCAATGCCGCCTCGGCGGCGCGGGCCCGCCGCGCACACCGCACGGGGGGCAGGGCGCCGGGGGTCTCGGGGGCAGCGCTGGGCCAGGGTCAAAGCGTGGTCAAAACTGCGTCTATCTCCTCGGCAGCAACCTCGGGATCCACCACCGACCAAGGTGCCAGGCGGTCCGCCTCCTCCGCCCTGGCAGCGCCTCATCCTCTCGGGGTCGCCCCCCCCCCTCGACCCCCCCAGAGCACTCATGTCGACTGGACGTAAGAGTGACCCTTCGCCAGGGTGACCTGTGGTGCGGGCCCCATGGGGTCCCCCGATTGCTGAACGCGCAGCGGCAGCAGCGGCTTGCGCGCCCAGGTCTGGCCACCTTGCGTCCCTCGTTAAGCCGCGCACCAAAGGTCGCTCTTGCCTGGGGCCACTCTTGCGTGTAGCATGTCACTCTTGCCTAGGGACACTCTTGCGTGTAGCCGATCATGGCGCCCAGCCCCTATTAGGCGAACAGGTATCTGACCAACAGATGCATGTGCCCGTGAACGTGCCCGAAGCTGTGACCGAATACATGTTTTGTGACCGAATTTGCAACCGAGCTTGGAAGTCGGCTTGGTGTCGAACCGAGCTCGGGCACATGCGGACACGTTCGGGCGCAGGTTTCGGCCACACGCGGGGCGATGTTCGGGCACAGCCTCGGTCGCTGCACCCCCCCGATTAAGCCGAGGTTACTCCAGATTTCGTAATAAAGGGAGGGGGGTCTCATTTCGGGGGGGTCTCTTCCAGGCTATCTTGGAGGGCCTGGGGGGCCTGGGGACGATGTTTTGGAGGGTTCTCCCACGGGGGAGGTCTGAAATGGCTTGTCTTGGAGGGTCCAGACCCCCTCCCTTTTACTACGAAACCTGGAGTGAACGAGAACAGTGCCGAAGCCCTACCCGGCCAGCTGACGGGCGCCCTCAGACGCCCGAGGCGTGCCGAGGGCACGGCGGCGGGTTCAAGCAGGACGACGACACCATCGCGCGGGTGTTGCCCCAGGTGGCCATGGGCCCCTGGCGACCCCCAGCTCCCTGGGGGAGGCCGAGATGGCCTCCAGAGCGTTCCTTAGGAGGCCCTCCTCCTCCTCCTCCTCCTCCTCCTCCTCCTCCTCCTCCAGAGGCTCCAGAGCTCTTCGGGCTCTCTTCGAGGCCCTCGGAGTGACCTCTGGAGGCTCAGCAGCGCCCAAAGGCGCCCCCCCCCCAAACCTGAACTCCCGATCCAGCCGCGGCGACTAGGGCGCTCCAGGATCACCTGTGGCAACCCCCGGCCATTGTGCACTGGCCCACCGCGCTTCCCAGGATCGCGGGACGTTAGCGAATCCTCTCACCGATCTTGGCCAGGCCAACGCCAGCCCTTTGGCAGGGAAGGGCCCGGTCATGACCAGCGTACAGGTGTGTAACCGACCCTTTCTCCTACCACAAGGTTCCCTTTGCGCCCGTTCGGCATCTGCGTCCGAGCCCGTTCGGCTCAGAGAAATCGGGGTGGAGGAGGAGGAGGAGGAGGAGGAGGAGGAGGAGGGGGAGGGAGGAGGGAGGAGGAGGAGGAGGAGGAGGAGGAGGAGGAGGCGGAGGAGGAGCAGGAGGAGGAAGGAGGGAGGAGGGAGGAGGAGGAGGAGGAGGAGGAGGAGGAGGAGGAGGAGGGAGGAGCGTTCTGGTCAGAAAACTTTGCGGCGGGTCCGGCCGCGGCGCGACAAGGGGCCCTCCTGGAGGCGCCGCAGAGGCGAAAAAAGCTGAACAAAAACCGCGGGCCTCGAGACTCGAGCCTCGAAGCTCGTGCGTCGAGCCCTGGGGCGCAGGATGCTGGGCAGCTGGGCGCGGCCGCCTCTTCAGCGGCTGTATGTCGGGATCTCAGCGCTTGCCGAGCGCGCGATCGGCAATCGCAGATCGCAGCGATCGGGGGATCGCGTGACCGCCGATCTCGTGATCTGTTCGGCGTGATCATGCGATCGTCCGAGCTCCAATGCGTGATCGATCCGTCACCGGCGTGGTAGCCATCGTGATTAGGGCTGCGGTCTGATCACGCGATCAGGTGGCGTGTTCGGCCGAGTTCATCATCGGGCGGGGCTGGGATGAGGATCAATCCGTTCCAGGGCGTTCCGGAACGCTCTCAGAGTGTGCCGGAACGCTCTGACAAGGCCGCGTCGCCCGAGACGTCCTCCAGAGCCGCCAGGCCTCAGAGGTTTCTGATGCATTCTCGTCCAGATGTGCCCTCGTCTTGGTGTCGTCGTGTGGTCAGTCAGGCGATCAGCCAGACGTCGCAGGCGATGTTTCTCTCCCCGTCCCCGAGCTCCGCCCAGAGAGTTTGGCCGCTCAGAACAGGGAGGACACTCCGGGACACACCCCTAAGGGGGCTGCTCGGGCGCACCCCCGTCGAGGGTGGGCGCCCCCTCCTCGTACATGCCCCGGGTTGGGCCCCCACTTTCTTACCCAGTCGAAGACCTTCCGAACTCGGAATGGGGGTCGCCATGGCCTTCCTCCTCCTCCTCCTCCTCCTCCTCCTCCTCCTCCACCTCCTCCTCCTCCTCCTCTCCCTCCTCCTCCTCCTCCTCCTCCCCCTCCTCCTCCCCCTCCTCCTCCTCCTCCTCCTCCTCCCTCCTCCTCCTCCTCCTCCTCCTCCTCCTCCTCCTCCTCCTCCTCCTCCTCCTCCTCCCCCTCCTGTGAAGCGTCCCGAGGTCGGCACGCTCGCGCCGAGCTACTCCTGCCCCGAGGTGCTAGACGGCAGGGGCCCCTGCGCCGCCGGGGCGCTCTACGGCTTCAGCCGCGACATCGTCGGCTGGGTCGTGCAGCACCTCTTGCCGACCACGGGGTCGGAGGACTTCTTTTTCCGGGGGGGGGGGCAGTCAGATGAGGAACAGGTATCCACACCTCTACCCTCCCCTCGTTCTCCCATTTTTGGGCCTCCTGGGCCTCCGTCGTCGCCACCGCTGGAGTCGCCTCGAAGTCGTGGTCAGCACGCACTCAAGGAGAGGCTCGAGGAGTAGCGGTATCGGTACCCTTTGGTATCCCCACCAGACATGCCCGCGTCGCTGAACAAATCAGGACGGGCGACTTTCCCCCGTGTTCGGTCCCTAGGGAGCCTTCGCTGGGCCCCAGGGTCCTCCCAGAACGACTCTGGAGGAAGAGCCGGTCCTGGGGATGGGGTCGGGACTTCCAGGGACCGCGTATTGAAAAATCAGGACGTCGCATGTCTGGGCCTTGTTCCTGAGAGGAAGCAGAGGTACCAATACCGCCTCCCTTCCCTCGCTTTTGCTTTTCTGGGCCTCTTGGGAGGCCCTCGTCGCCCAGGCGGGAGGCTTCCCGACAGTCTGGTCAGGACGCCCTCCCGGCAGAGGTCGGGAGAGTAGCGGTATCGGTATCCTTCTGCGTCCCCAGGATAGTTTTCCCCGCCCGATAGTTTGGGCATGTTAGACTTGAAGGAGCTCCCAGCCCGCCTCGCACACCCTGCGTATCGCGGCCGCCAGGCCCAAAATGCGCCAGTGCTCCCTGGGTATCCCGCCTCGTGCCTTCGACGAGTGACGGCTGCATGCCGCGGTCGCCAGGCCACAGAGGTGCCAGTGCTGCAGTGTTCCCTGGGGATCACGCCTCCCGCGTTCTCAGGTGGGGATCGCTCGAAGCATTGTTCCCAGCCGTCCTGTGGTGTTGGGTCCTCGTTTTGGACAGACAGCGCCCCGCGTCTCCTTCCCACCCGCTGCCCCCCTCCCTCCTCCAATCCTTGCACCTGCCCTCCGCATGACCACTTCGGCACAAACACCTCACGTTTCGTGGCCCCACGGAGAGCTTCACCGAAGGCCCCAGTGGCTGTGATCACATGCGTCGGCTCCGCCCAGTACAGCGCTTCGTGGCGCCACAGAGAGCTCCACCGAAGGCCCCAGTGGCTGTGACCACATGCGCCCGCGCCACCCAGTACAGCGTTCCGTGGTCCCATGCGGAACTCCACCGAAGGCCCCAATGGCTGTGATGACATGCGTCCGCGCCCGAGAATACAGCGCTTCGTGGCCCCCTTGGGGGGCTGCACCAAAGGCCCCAGTGGCTGTGATCACATGCGTCCGCGCCACCCAGTATGGCGTTTCGTGGCCCCATAGGGAGCTCCATCGAAGGCCCCAGTGGCTGTGATCACATGCGTCCGCGCCACCCAGTACGCACCCGATTCGGCACACCCGTCACACGTTTCGTGGCCTCATAGGGAGCTGCCCCTCTTCCGTCCCACCTGCGTTGCGGTATCTGCATCCGCATATGGTTGGGTCCTTCGCCAGGGTATTTTTTGTATTTGTCCTTCCCCGAATGGGCCCGCAAAATGGGTCATGGGTGATGGGTGATCTATTCTCACGGGTTGGCCTCGCAATTTTTGGGGCAGATGATGCGGTTGGCAGCTTTTGATGGGGACGCGAAGCAATACACGAAGTGGAGGTCCCAAATAGAGAACTATTATTTGAAGTTTATGTTGGAAGTACCTTTGTGATCGCAAACGCGTTCATCAACCAACAATTGGAACATTGAGTCATATACCGGGAGGCTGGGGTACCAGCACAATGCCCGATTAACGAATCAACCCACAACACTCTTATTTTTTTTGTGTGGGCCTAGCCTGCTGGACAAGATCGAAGCTTTGGGAAGTCACCGCAGAGCAGCTCTGGCTACTGATCATTGCCTGGTCACGTGCACTCTGGAACTGGACGCACCACGATCACGCCAAGCGCATAAATATGCACATGATGTCAAAGCTTTGGAAAAGACAGCACCCGAGAAGCATTTACAAGCGTATTCATTCCGAGTGCAAATGCTGCAACAAGTAGCCAAGGCATGTGGGACACTACCGAATAAGCATTTGACCGAGCAGGAAAGACAACCATGGGTTACACAGCGCATGATCGACTTGATAGACAAGCGAAGTTTGGCACGCACCGCAAACTATAAAATATAATGAAAGTGATTGCTCAAGGAAGTGCGGAAATCTGTGAGGCGTGACAAGACGGAGTGGATTGATGCGACGATGTCTTCGGGGGAGTGGACGTCCCTGATGCGTGCATGCCAGCCGAAACCGCGCAAGCACGGGAAACTCCGCAACCCGGCCGGCGAACTCGTTGACAGCGAGGTAAGAGTGGAGAGCATGGTTGAAGATTTGGAGAAGGTTCAACGGAAAGTACGCGCTGCGACAACGCTGGACCCAAATCCGCTGGGTGCTCCGATGCACATTCCTGATGCCGGTTTTAGCAAAAGAGAGGAGGGAACCACAATATCGAAACTCAAGCTGGGGACAAACATGTGGAATGCATCGGCACACTATCCGCATGTATTGCAATGGGTCGCGCAGCTGGTACACAAATGCTGGAAGGGGAAGCGCATGCCATCATATTGGCGACATGCCGTGATATCCACCATATAGAAGAACAGAGGCCCTGTTGATCAGTGTGGCAGTAATCACCCAATCAGCCTGCCGAGCGTCTTGCACAAGATCTTTGCTACCCTGATGTTGGCGAGAATGCAAAATGCAGGCGCCGAAGACCCGCAACAACGCAGGATGGGTTCAGGAGGGAGCGGGGCACGTCCGATGCTGTGCACGCAGTGCGCCGTTATATTGCGATGTCGTGCGCTGATCGCGAAGGACAAGTAGCACTTGTCGCGCTGGGCTGGAACAAAAAAACGCTTGATTCTATTAACTTGGACGCTCTGCTCGAAGCGCTGGAAGATGTTGGGGTGCCCAACAATGCGCTTGGCATGAACCAGGAAATGCACAGACGTTTTTTTCCCCGTCGCAGATGGCCCACGGAGATCGCGAAGGCGGAACCAACTATCTGGTATTTCTCAAGGTCGTCCACTATCTCCATTTCATTCCGTCATGGCCATGAGCGCGATCATCGAGAATGCAAGGAAGAAGTTTGACGAACACGCGCTGAGCTCATTGGCCTCTTGTGACCTTGCGATTGTCCTGTATGCGGACGACGCGCTTCTGGTGAGTCGCCACGAAAGTCCTACGCAGAAGGCTCTGGATGCGATAGCAGCAGCAGGCAAAGAAATCGGCACGCAACTACATTGGAACATAGCCAAATTTTCGCAATCGAGGTGCGACGTTGTACGGCGAGACCCTGGCGGCAATGCCATTGACCCCGCTGGGCACATTCAAATTTTGGGAACACATTTTTTTCAGTTCTGGGAGGCTGAATCAAGAACTCAGCCGCAGGCTTGGGTCAGTTTGGGGCGCGGCCCATTATACAAGGGCATGGAAACACGCGTCGATCCGCAATTCAAGACATGTTGGGCATGTTTGGGGCAGTCATCGCGACCAAAGTCATGTTTTCGGTGACTTCCGTGTGGTTGAACAACTCAGAAAAGGCGGCGTCGTGATGGATTCCAAGCGAGTTGTTTGTCTTAGAAGTATTTCGAACGTCCAACATTCTTACATTTCAAGGATATCGAACAAAACGGAATTAGAAAAGGCAGGTGCGTTATTTCACAGCGACTAGTTGCTAAGACATCAATATCTATGGTTTGGACAAACCGGCCGCTGCAGGGATGACGACGTGCTTCGGAAGCCAATTCTCCAACCGGAGAGTTCGAAACCTGGGACGGATTCTAACAGGCGGGCACCCGGGCGTCCCAGGCATGAGTGGGCGAAGTGTTTATGTCATTTGATTCGCAATAGTTACGGCTCCGATTCTGCCTTGGTGGATCGCATAGCAGACGAACGAACGTGGCGTCAGTTTGAAAGAAAGTTTGCGCTTGACGGCCGCGCTGCGCAGTGACCTTCTTGCCCTGGCAGCGCGCGGTTTCAAGTGCCCACGCGCCGAATGGCGTACGGCTTCTCGCTTGCTTGCGAATGGGCCCGGTTTCTGTGCCTTCCTGGGTTTCCCAAGGGCCTCTTGGTGCTTTACCACCGGCCAGGCCCAGAGCCTCATGGGGCTTGTTGGAGGGGCGGGGCAGGGTGACCCGGGCGGGGCTAGGTCAAGGAGAAATCCTTTCCAGAGCGACCCGGACGCTTTCAGAGCTTTTAGGAGCGCTTTGAGAAGGCCGCGGCGCCCGAGGCATCCGCCAGAACCGCTGGATTTCAGAGGTTCCCGATGCATCCTCGTCCGAATTTGTCTTCGTCCTGGCCTCGTCGTAGTGAAGAGGAGTCGCTCCAGATCGTTCTGGAACGCTCTCAGAGCATCCCAGGGCTCTGGAGCCGTCGCGGCGCCCGGGCGGCGCCAGGGCACAATTTTCCAGGCAGCACCAAGTCTCAGAGGCTCCCGGTGTATCCCCATCCGGATGTGTCCTGGCCTTGGCCACTCTTCATGGCAGTTCAGAGTGTGCAATTTGGAGGTGGAGTTCTTCTGTCTGTATGGAGAGCAACGAGTTCTCTTCACCCAGGCGACTCCTCATGGCAGTTGAGAGTGTGCAGTCAGGAGGTGCAGTTATTTTTTTGTACGGATAACACAGATTCATTCTCACCCTGCGTCCTTTTTTTTTTTTTGTTGAAACGGGGGGCCTCTGTTGGTCCCCCGCAGGGCGCTCTTGGTGGTCCTGGGCCGTCCCGATAGATGGCAGTTCGGGCCATGAAGAAGTGGCGCAGAGCCCCGTTAGGACCAGGGGCCAGGATCCGATCCTCCTCGCCCTCCCCTTGTTCATCGAGGATCAAGAACCCCTAACCGTAAAAACGCGATGAAGACGTGGCCAAACTTAGGTCCCCGCTTAGCATGAGGGATCATCAATCCGCGTGTACCTGCTGAACAGACCCCATATCCCTGATTCTTGTGGGCTTTTTAACTCAGGTCCATTCCCAAAAGTTTAGGGGCCATTTTGACGCCAGTCGTTGAATGAAAGTATTGCTGTTTCCCAGATTCTATATTTTGCAAGCGCCTTTGTGCTTCATGAGTCGATCTGCCTTCGCCGCGTGTTTGTTATTATGGGCGAGGGCTTGCACCTAGTCTACCTTCCCCGCCCTCTGCTTCATTGTTCTGCGTACTTCTTCCAACCGGCGTGTACTTGCTCGAGTAGGGGATCGACCACGTAATTGATCTACCCCAGGATTGATTTCCGATCGAATCGGCTACACATGCGTACGACGATTGTTCGCATACTTACCTGTACGAACCCTAAACGTGTTCGTTTGTAGATGCGGCGAGGAAATCAATCTTGGGGGAAATCACGGCGTGCTGTAGTCGATCCCCTGCTCGAGTTGTTCACCACTTGCCCCCAGCCGTGCCCCGCAGGACATGGAGGCCTGCCTCTGGGCACGCCAGTTCGAGCGTGCGCACGCCGGCTCCGTGCCCCGCGGCGAGACCTTCCGCCTCGACCCGCGGGGCCTCCTCGAGGCGCTCTCGGGCGACATCGACGACGCGTGGGTGCCTTGGGGAGGAGGAGGAGGAGGAGGAGGAGGAGGAGGAGGAGGAGGAGGAGGAGGAGGAGAAGAAGGAGGAGTAGGAGCAGGAGGAGGAGACCCAGACCCCCCGTCGAGTCACGAAACAGCCCGACGGAAGGCTTTCCGCTATTTTCCACCTCTGGGGGTCTCTTACCGGGCCTCGGGACCTTCAAACAACGGCTCGGCTTGAACAGCTGGTCTTGGGGAGTGGGTCGAGGTCCCTGGGGGTCGACGTGTGGAAATATCATGGCGTCGGGGGTTTGGGGATGCTGCTGCTCGTCCTGGAGAGCCCTCGTCGCCACAGCCGGGTTCTCCTCGATAAGTTCTGGTCCGAGCGCACCCTAGGAGAGGTCGAGAATGCGGCGGCATCGGTAACTACTCCAGATTTCGTAATAAAAGGGAGGGGGTCTGGACCCTCCAAGACGAGCCATTTCAGACCCCCCCTGTGGGAGAACCCTCCAAAACTTCGTCCCCAGACCCCCCCAGGCCCTCCAAGATAGCCTGGAAGAGACCCCCCCCGAAATGAGACCCCCTCCCTTTTATTACGAAATCTGGAGTATCCTTTCTGTTTTCCCCAGGTGCACCCCGTGAAGACGCGGTCGCTGTACCTGAAGTGCACACGGGACCGCACACACGGCTGCCGCTTGCCTTTCTTCCCGAACAGCGACGTCCCAGCCAGGGTGCGGTTCCGGCTGCCCAGCCGCAACGCGTCCCACGGCGCCGGGGCGCACCCCGCCCGTCCAGAGACCGCGCCGTGGCGAGAAACGGCGCCCGCGCTCGCCCTCGCGAAGAGCAGCGGTGGGTTGGGGAAGGGGTGTCCCTGCATTCGCCCTTTGGGGCATGCACTTTCCACAGGATGCTCGCGGTGCAGAAGGCGAGGGGAACACCCTGCAACGGAGCTGCCCTCGGTCGTGGCGGCTGCTGGACTTCTTGAGCTTTCCGGGTGGACGTGGAGAGCCCGTCAGGCGAAAGCTCGGCTTTGACAACCCGCCACTCAGGAGGGAAAAAAACACACAGACACAATTAATCGTCGACCCCCAGGAAAATATGGGAAAATATGGGAAGTGGGGGGGAAGACAGAAACCCAGAAAATATAGGAAAATATGGGCAATCCTTTTATTTGTGTGTATTTATTTGTGTGTCCTGGCGCCCCTTCAGCCACCCCCGCAGCTTGTGAGGAGCGTCGAGCCCAGTGATCGCTCAGTGTCATCGAAGCCTCGCTCGAGAGCCGCATTTTTTGAAAAAGGGCCGCCCTCCATCCCAGTGCCTATCCTCCTCCTCCTCCTCCTCCTCCTCCTCCTCCTCCTCCTCTTTCCTCTCCTCCTCCTCCTCCTCCTCCTCCTCCTCCTCCTCCCCCCCTCCTCCTCCTCCTCCTCCTCCTCCTCCCCTCCCCCCCCTCCCCCTTCGGCTGCGTGCACTCCTCCCCCTCCCCCTCCTCCTCCTCCCCCTCCTCCTCGAGCCGAAGGACGCCCCAGGCGAATGCCACATTCTGAGCACTGGCCGCCGCTCCCTCCGCGCGGCGCCGGCGTGGCAGAGCCACGCGCCGGGAGAGAACAACGAGCCGGCGTGCGGCCAAAGTCTACGGGGGCAGAGCCTCCCTGCAGCGGGCGTGCGCGGGGCTGCTGTGAGGGCCACGCCTCGGATGCGAGCGCCGCCCGCCATCACAGGGGTTACGATCTTCGCTGCCCCGATACGCCCGTCTTGAAACGCAGCACGTCCCGTGTTCAAGACGTCCGTGTCAGTGCGTTGCGTGTCGGCTCCACGTATCGGACCACGTTTTGGGGCGAGTGTATCGCGTCGGACCCACGTATTCAGCCTGCGTGTTGAGCTCCGTATCTATACGGTACGTGTTGCGTGTTGCGTATCGGGGCAGCTAAGGTTATGATGTTCCAACCAGCTTCAGCCTGGATCACCAGAAGGAATCTCGAGCACCGAAACAGTACCGAAGCTCGGAGGTTTTCACGTGCCAGGCCCTGGGAGACGCTCGTCCGACACTGTTGCGACACTCTTCCGACACTTTTCCGGGTGCTCGAAATGATTCTTGGGATGTGGTCCTTAAGTACGATGGGACCAACGTCACACGGGGGGTCCACCTCGATCGCTTCGATCTCGGCTTTGGCGGGCTCGATCTGGGTCGGCTCCGCCTGGCGGCGCGAGGCGGCCCAGTGCTCGCACGGCGCTGTGCTGCATCCTGGCGTGGCCGATCCGGTTCGGTTCGGACTCCGTGCCGGTGCAGCCCGACCTCGAGCAGTGGCGAAGCTTCCTGGCTCGCCTATAGGCCTACCAACATATTTTCTAAGAAACTTTGGTGGTTTGCACGAAATGTCCTTCGAACATTTCTGGCTGGGACCGTCTTGTTTTAACGCATCGGATTTATGCTCTAAAAACATATGTTCTTGTGATTCGAACGTTTCTGGGTTCTAAGAACATTTCGTGGTAGGCCTATAGGAATGCCAGGACGGTCGGTCCCTTCTCAAAGACCCGACGCACATGCGGTTCGATCCAATTTGCCGATTCGATGCTGGCCAATATTGGCATCCGTGCAGTTGCTAGACCCACTCAGGATGATCGTGCGTGGCGCTAGTCCAGGAGCCACGCACAGGTCGCTCGCTGAAGGTCAGTATTTCTGGACCCCCACATCCCAACACAGGATCGCCTTCTCTTTAAGGATGCAGCTCCTGGGAGCTTGACTTCAGCATCGGCGTCGGTATATCCGTGGTCGAAAACATGCCTCATACAGTACACATCCCTTGGAATTTTGCTCAAGCTGGCAACATTTTGCCTAAGCCTGAGCTTAATTCGGGCTAGTTGATCTGGCTTCATGGCCCCGTTCATCGGGCTTAGTAGCCCTTCATCGTTCTCACGGAGGCTTCCCGGGCGTTGCCTGCTGACCTATTTCAGCGGTCGAAGGGGCTCCATCATGCCCTCCTTCACCGAGCGCGTTCCACTGCTCGCAAAGCGCCCTGCTCGCAAACGTGCGCGAACACACATGCTTGTCTTGGTTCTGGATCGTAGATCCCCCGCGGCGGATCCTTCGGGTGCAACTCCTGTGAGGTCAAATTCTGATTTTGCCCTGGCCCGAAATCCGGCTTAATCCGACTTGATCCCGCTTAATCCGGCTTGATCCCGCTTAATCCCGCTTAATCCGAGGCCCACTCTGGCGTAACAGCCTTCAATGGGGCTTCATCCTCCTTAGTCCTTCCGGCGGAGACCTCCCAGTGGCGGCCTCCTGAGGGTCCGGGCCATCTGCGAGTGGTTCCTCTGCGAGTCGTGGAGCGCGCTCGCCTGCTCCTTCTGCCCGTGCGGGCCGCAGTCCGATCTGGCGCTTCGACCGCCCTCCCGCCTCCTGCTTTGCCGAAGGCCTCTGCCGACCGTGCGGCACGCACCCAGAACGAAGTCGGGCACGTCCCTCTACAGGAGGAATATTCCCAAATCGTCCAAAAATAGCCAGGGGAGGATTTTTTTGGGGGGTATTTTAGAGCATTTTTGGTGTGTGGTGTATGCTTCGACTATTTGTAATTTTTCGTCCAAGATGCCCCTGTAGGGTGACACGCCCGACTTAAACCCAGAACAGGCCGCCCCCCCCACACGGTCGGGCCGAGGTCCAAGATCGAGCGGGGCTCGACCTACACGGTGTTCGAGTGATCTCGTGGGCCGTTCTCGCTTCGATCGCGTTCTGCAGCAGCGGCGGAACGACGACGATACGAGGGGAGCACGACAACAACACAAACACGGAACACACCGTTTAGGTCGAGCCTTGCGATTGAGGTCGGCTCGGGGAGGGTGCCCTAATCTTAGTGTTCTTCGTGCTTGTTGGGTGTTCTTTGCATCCTTGGGGAGGGTACCCTGAAGGATGGTTTGTCCTGGCGGAGGGTCTCATGTTCTGGAAGGATATTCTTCTGTCCTAGGTCCAGCCGTACCCGTGCAGATCTCAGATTCTGGATTAGCTCTAGGACGAAGGCGCGCAGCGCGCGAGAGAGAGAGAGAGAGAGAGAGTGCTGAGGCAGTCCCTCGTCCTCCCCCTCCCACTCCCTCCCTCATTCCTTCTCCTTCCTCATCCCTCCCTTCCCCTCCTCTCGATTTTTTGTTTGTTTTTCATTTTTTTTTTGTTCTCTCTCTCTCTCTGTCTCTGTCTCTGTGTCTCTTTTGTTTTCTCTCTCTCTCTCTCTCGCTCGCTCTCTCTCTCTCTCTCTCTCCCCCTCCCCTGGCCCGCCCCCTCCCCCCTCCCTCGGCTCCTCCGCCCTCCCGCCCTCCGGAACGGGCCCCTGGGACCCCTCCCAGAGCCCGCTCCGACCAGGCGCTCGAGGCGCCCGCCGCCGTGGGTCGACGAGCCTGCCCGGGGAGGGCTCGAGACAGGCCCTGGCGTCGGGAGCGGCAGAGGGGGGGACAGGCGGAGGAGGAGGAGGAGGAGGAGGAGGAGGAGGAGGAGGAGGAGGAGGAGGAGGAGGAGGAGGAGGAAGAGGAGGAGGGAGGAGGAGGAGGAGGAGAAGGAGTAGGGGAACTAGGGGGTGATGACCAGGGGGGGGGACATCATGGCGGGGGCCATGATATTGCCTCAGATCTCACGGCGCCTCTCCTCATGTCATGCCGTCCCTGGCCCCCCCCGCTGGGCCGCGCACCTGCCGCCAGTCGTGAGTTGCACCCCCCCCTCTTGTGGACACCCCCCTCTGGGCCGCTCCCGAGGGCGGCGCCCCGAGGCCCGGGCCCCCTCGGCGAAGCCTCCAGGGGCTCTGCGCGTCCCCCCGGGGTGTTTTTTTCTGGAGCAGGCCTCCTAGAGGTGGGGTCCGGGCAGGAGGAGGAGGAGGAGGAGGAGGAGGAGGAGGAGAGGAGGAGGCGGAGGAGGAGGAGGAGGGAGGAGGAGGAGGAGGAGGAGGGGAGGAGGAGGAGGAGGAGGGAGGAGGAGGAGGATGGGGGTCGGAGGATCGCGCCGCATCGCCGATGCATGGACGATGCGGCTCGATGTGGAGACCGCGTTCCCCTTCGAAGAAAACGCCATACACATAAACTTTGAGCGTTCCGCGCGGATTTCTTGGATCCGCGCTTTGCCCCCCCTGGCGGCGCCTCCGGCGCCGCCCCTGGCGCGCTCCGCGCGCCTGGGAGGGGGGTCAGCGCAGATCCAAGAAATCCTCGCGGAGCTCCAAAAGTTTATGTTTATGCCGTTTTCTTTGTTCTTCTTTTAGAGGGGGTCGGAGGACCGCGCCGCAGCGCCGATGCATCGACGATGCGGCTCGGTGTGCAGACCCTGTTTCCCCACGCTGACGGCGCCGATGCGTCGCCGACCTCGCTGGTGCATCGCCGATGCATCGGTGATGCATCGGCGATGCACTGGCGATGCGGTGCGATCGCCCGACCCCATCTACTCGGATTCATCTAAGGAGGCCTCTAATCTCGGGAGGCCTCCTGAGACCCAAAAAGAAAGGGCCCAGCGCGTCCACGAACAGCTTTTACCTGTCCTTGTGCTCCCTCCATCCGCTCCCTGCAGCCTCCTCCCCCTCCCTCCATCCTCCACCACCTCCCTCGTCTCCCCCTGCTCGCTCCCTCATCGTCTCTTCCCCTCCTCCTGCCTCTTCTCCCCCCGCCTCATCAAATTTCTCCTCCATCACTTTCCCTTCTAGACATTTCCTCCCTATCGCACCCCCAGACGTGTCGCTAGGGCGGGCTGGGCGCCCTGCATTTGGCCTAGTTGCAGAGATGGAGGGGTCGTTTTCAGAATGGACCTGGAGCCCTAGGGCCGCACACATTCGTCTCAAACGCTTGCAGCAATTACAAGGAGGGGGGGGGGCGTTTTCAAAATGGGTCTCTCGCCAGAGCGCCGCCACATTCGTATCTGTATCTACATCTGGCAACGGCTACACGAACGGAGGGCGGCCCATGTTCAAAATCTTTCGCGCTGTAGCGCCGCGCACATATCTGTCTTTAGGCGACACCCTTGCGGCAGAATGCCCTAGGCAACTTGTCACAGTGGTGTTTTTTTTTTTTTTCT